CGTTTTGACTCTAGCACATACCTATAAAGCGTACAAACATCGGACATGGTACGCTATACCATTCATTACCGGTGGCTTCTGTACGTATTCCTTGACTCTGGTCTGACTGGCATGCGTACGTTGGTAGACTGACATATCCAGCTGAGCCCATGGGTTATGCGTGTCGCGCAATAGCAACCCATCATACAGGCGCTCTAGTCCCCTTCCTTCTACAAGCGATCTTCCTCCTTCTTCCACCGTGTCTGTTTGCAGGCACACTGTACATGGTTTACTCGCGCGTAGTGCGAGCCACGCATGGCGAACGCTTCTCCTATGTGTCACCTCGATGGTGCACTCGGATCTTCATCGCAGGCGACCTACTCTGTCTCAACATACAATCAACTGGAGCGGGGTTCCTTCCCAAGCCGAAATTGGTAAATGCTGGAAATGGTGTTATCGTCACAGGCTTAGGTTTACAAGTTCTCATCTTTGCCGGATTCATGTGGTGCTGCGTTCTTTTCCACCGCAAGTTCTCACTCCACCTCCGCAACACTGGCCAAACTGTCGATGTACCTTGGGAAAGTGTGCTCTGGATGCTATACGGGACTTCTGTTCTCATCTCAATACGAAACATCTTCCGCCTAGTCGAATTCATCGCTGGACACGACGGCTATCTAAACTCGAACGAGTGGCCAGTATACGTATTCGATGGCGTCTTGATGCTCCTCGTTATGATCAGCTTTTACATTTGGTACCCGCCACAGCTACAGCTCGAGGAAATTGGTACAGAGAGTATGATTGAGCTCACGAGCGAAGACAACAATGTGCCACAGAATGAGCCGGCCAGGAAGTAGCTTGGATGTTGCGATACCAACAATCGACGAACTTGTAGCCATACTGTAGCCTTCTATACTACAGTCTCTTTCAGATCAAACATAACGGGTCTCGTCTCCGCAAACTCCTTCCATTGATCCAGTTCCTCAAACCACTTCGCCAGTACCTCGTACTTGCTCTTCCATCCAGGGCTCATGCTTCCGAAGTCAATAAACCCTACTGTACACACCACCGCAATATCAGCAATCGTCATCTCGTCACCAACGAGATATGCCTTCTCTTGCTCTCTTATACTCCGGACCATCTCATCGAAAGCCTGCATTGCGCCACTGATCTTCCGCTTCTGTCGAACGAGCCAAAGCTGCGACTGCTTGTCTTTCTCGCGACGTGCTTCAAATCGGGCTATCACGATGGCGTCCATGCAACCCACGCTCAAGACGACGATCTGTCGGATTTGTAGATCCAAGTCCATGTCGCCGGTGATTAGCTTCGGGCCCCTGTCTGCATACTTGCGCACAATGTATTCTTGGATGTGCGCGCTATCGTAGACTGGCGGTCGGCCGTCAGGGAGAAGCAGGATGGGCAGTTTCTCCAATGGGTTGTATTTGGGTGTCTCTGTTGCGCTTTGCCATGGTATCTCATTCCTGAGCTCGAAGGGTATGCCTTTTAGAGTGAGCGCGATGCGGTTCATGCGTGCGAATGGCGATGGTGTTGCTGATATGAGGGTCAGTGGTGACGTTTCTGCGGTGGAGCTGGACATCGTCGCTGGGCTTAGTTCCGTATTCTAATGTCTTCAAAGGTTGCAGAGCATGCAGACTGATGTTGATGTATGAGTGCGGACTGCGGGGACGTGATGGGGTATGGATAATGTACTTGTCTAGGCGGAGATAAGCCCGCATCTCTACGTCATTGCTTCGCAGTGATATTTGAAATAGTTCAGTTCCTGTTGTCCGAAGGATCGTCGTTCGTGAACATCATGGCAGTTGTCTGCAGGGACTTCAGCTTACCCATTGGTCAACCGCTTTACAACCTTCATGCCCCATCCCGTTATCCCCCCTTCACCGTCTCTCCTACTATCTCCAATATCTCTCGCATCCATACGCCTGGCTCTCTGCACACTATCCACCAGGGCTCTAATAACATATTCTACCTCCCCGCGCTCATTGGAACTAATCTCGAAATGCCGGAAACCCTGACTTGCAGCCCATTGTTCCGCCATGTCCTTTTTCACCTGCCTCTTTGATGCATCCTCATCGACCATGTCCTTTTTATTCCCCACTACTACACAACCGAACCTCTTCTTCACTCCTTGCATCCTCCCTTCTGTGCCGTCTTTGGTAAATATGGTGTTGCGACAGTGGTAGATGTGTGGATACGTGTATTTGATGAGTTCATCCCAAGACCATTGGGCAGTGATGTCGTATATCAGAACGACGCCATCAGCACCCCCAATGTATTCATTCAAGACACGGCGATATGAGGGAGATATGGAGCCCTGGAGATCTATATCCATGAAAGAAAAGCTCCAGTTGTCATCAGCGTGCGAAATGGTCCTTGAAAGTAGTTCGGAGTCGACAGCGCTGTGGCGAATAAAGTGTTTCCCTTCGAGGAACTAGAGCCAGTGTCAATACTGATGCTACTGGAGGAGAAACGACAATGGGTAATGTTGACAGGACGGTCGCATACCATGTCAATGAAGCATGTTTTGCCTGATTGGGCCTCACCTAAGACGACCACCTTGAGCGGGTTTGGTTCTTTGGAAAACAACATGATGAGACCTGAAGCAAAAAAGGAACATGCGATGTTGCCCAAGTGTGTTGGACTGATATCGCGCTGATTGTCAAGGCGTGAATCCTTCGCGACTGCCTGGTCAGGTAGCGCTAAGCTTCGAAAGGATACAAGCGGCACGTATGCCCAGAACCACGGCGCACCACCTGCATGGAAATGGGCGCGCCTTCAACGCAGCGACTGCTCTGTTTCACTGCTTAGATGCGTTGCCACGAAATGGGATGCAGGCACGCGTGGATTACACGTGTGTACCTAGAGTAGCGGCCCACGCTCCCGCCAAGTCCGCGTGCCGGCAGCCCGGGATCGACGCTGGGGTCAGCCAGCAAGGCTAGATGGGCTCGACAAACGCGAAACAGCAGCGGCGTTCTTATGGAGGCTCCTCGCCCGCCTGATCACGTCTCGATGACTTCCTGGCACCCTCTACTGTATACTTGCCCTGACACTGCCTCTAGAATTCTCGACCGCCACGACAGGAAGGACCTGCGCAAAAAACACCAAGCGCAAATGACCGCCCGGCCATAATAAAAAGGACTGGCATAACGCTGTCACTGCTTTCGCATTCTGCATCGTCATATCCAGTGCCTGTTGTCCCTCGCCGTGAAGATTATCCTGAGTCACGACGGCAGTGCGAGATTTTCCCCTTCGACCAAAACATCGCGATGACGTCGTACCGTGATCACCCCTATGCGCATGCGCAAAACCGCCCGCGACCCCTCATCGAGCAGATACCAGACTACCGCGACGACCTTGACGTATCCGACGAAGAAGAAGGCTTCTACGCACGCGACGACGATTTCCTGATTCCGCCAAAGTTCCAGGCGGCGATCGCACGCACAACCGACCGAATCCCCCGGAGGATAAAGCGCCACAGTGTCACGTATCTCGTAATCGCGGTTCTCTTTTTGATAAGTTGGTGGACATACTTTGGGCCTAGACACACAGCATACAGAACGGAGTTGCATCTCATGGACAACGCACCAACGATGAGCTACGGCAGCAATGTCCGGCCAGAGTTCAAGGGCATGATCCAGGTCAGCGACATGGACGAGCAGCATCTGCCTAAGAAGCACAGCAGACTCGTCTTCGTCGGCGATGTCCATGGCTGCAGAAAGGAACTGGAGCATCTCCTCAAGAAGATCGACTTCAACCACAAGCACGACCACCTCGTCATGACCGGCGACATGATAGCCAAGGGCCCAGACTCGCCAGGCGTCATCAAGCTCGCCCAAAAGATCGGCGCTTCCTGCGTGCGCGGAAACTGGGAAGACAAGCTCCTGCTCTCCATCGCCGACGCGCAAGATCGTCACGTCCTCAAATTCACTCCCGACGACTCCCCCGACGCAAACATCGACTTTGTAGACGAAGTCAGCCAATCGCACGGCGACTACAAGCTGCGCAAGCTAGCGAAACAATTCACCAAAAAAGAAATCGAATACCTCCGACAATGCCCCGTCATCCTTCGCGTCGGCACCGTCCCGACGTTAGGCAACCTCGTAACCGTACACGCCGGCCTCGTCCCCGACACCCCGCTCGAACACCAAGACCCCTTCCACGTTATGAACATGCGGACTATCGATCTTAAGACGAGAATACCGAGTAGCAAACATGCGGGCACGCCTTGGGAGAAGTTCTGGAATCATCGCCAGGAGAAGCTGAAGCAGGAGGATAGGGCGACAGTGGTTTACGGACACAACAGAAAGAAGGGTCTCAATATACACGAGTATTCCTATGGTCTGGATACGGGATGTGTTAGTGGGGGCAAGCTGACAGCGCTTGTTGTTGATGGGGACGGCAAGACGGAGTTGGTGCATGTCAAATGTGGCAAGGACAGTGGGTATACTAGTGATTAAGGGACCATGGTCTCTAGGACTGGATATCTGGGCGTTTGGGAACTATAGAATATCCGTTGGGCATTTCAGGAGTTGGTGTCGCATGCACCGTTGCCTAAACATACTTGTGTCGGCTTAGCGTTAGCATAGCATTGTTGTAATATCACGTTAGATTGTTGTCTTTTCTCGATAAAGTCTTACGAAACGTCAGAGTCACGGGTTGGAGAACACTCAAAGCAGCCGAGTAGATTGGTACATGCATCATACGATTCACTGCGAATGAAGTTCTCGTCAAGCCAGCGAGTGGAGACGTGCATTATTAGAAAAGACTTGTACATGCTGTTGCCCATGGTAGATGAGCGCGTCGCTAGTCCAGACAGCGTAACTAGAACACCACATCTACGAAGCTCAGGCTCGTGGCACTAACGCCGATACGTGCAGATCTGACTGCACGGAGCTGAACACCCTGGAGTGTGACCATCAGAACGTTTCTCTCGCCCAAACTACACCTCAACGCCTCTTACAGGGCGGAAACGAAGCACCCGTATCTCAGTAGCTAGAACTGGAATCCTACTCCCCCATTTCCACATCCTCAACCTTCATCACCGGAGCGCCCATGTCATCACTCCCGCTCTGTGCATGTTGCAGAACAGGAACATACGACGTCATCTCGTCACCCATTCCGTATGTAGCGAACTGTGTAGGCTGATTTGTAGTCCCACCAATCCTCTGGAAGTCCGGAAACGCCTCACGCTCGCCGCTATCGTAAGTGGGCCGGCGACCTTGCATGCCAGGGTGATGAGTTGGGAACTGGTATTGCTGCATGCGGTTTCGCGACTCGTTTGGCACAGTGGGTTCTCGAACTGATTCCAGACGGTCCATGAACGCGTTGCGCTGGACAGTTGGGCCACGTTGGATGCCGGGATGGACGTTTGCAGCTGAATGACCAACGAAGGGGAAGGCATGAACACCACGACCAGTAGCCTGTGGATGATTGCTCCGCAACGACGCATCGTTGCGCTTGATCATATCACCGAGCATCTGGTTCTGCTTAGCCAACTCCGTCTTCTGGCGCTGGTTCTCAGATGTCAAGGTGTTGACTTGACTGCGCAACTCCATCATCTTACTCTCAACAATGCGGTTCCAGTTCGCAATGGTGCCGGCGTTCTGGAAGATCGGGGTCTCGCCGTCAACGATGTCGATATTGTCTTCCGAAACCTGCGAGCCAGTTGGCGATAGCGGAGCTTCGATCCTGTTGCGACCATTCTCGATCATGGCTGCGAGGCGGGACTTGGCTTTCATGATCATGATGGTATCCATATCTCGGAGCTTGATGTCGGGACGCTCGGGATCATGAACATCGCTGAAGATCATATCGTAGTCGATCTTGATGTAACGTGCTCCCATGTCATCATCCGGGCCACCTAGCGCGTATTGGTATATGAAGACCCAGTCTATGCCGTACTGTTTGCCTCGCTGTTGACAATAGTACTCTAAACGAGGGCCGAACTTCTGCGACGCGCGGATCGTGAGGATGGAGAAGATGGGAGTGCCATTGATGTCGTATGTATTGCTATGAATACGAAGCGTCATTACGGGATCATTCTCGTCTCCTACGGGTAGAGCAGAGCGTTGCAAAGCAATCTAAACTTGTCAGTGACTAGACTTTAGAGCAGGGAAACATTCCGACTTACTGGCTGTGTGAGCTCCCGAGCTACCGGCCCCTTCTTAGTCGGTGCAGCCGTATTCATTCCTTGAAGCTGCCCTTGTGTCGGCAAGTTCAAGTCGGCGGCTGGCTGGGCCGACGTCTGACGAGAAGGCATGCGAGATCCAGGCGCGCTTGCAAGGAACTCGTTGGGCCGAATGTTACGACGAGTAGCTTCCTCATACACCTTGAAGTTGGCGGATTGGATGGGTCGGAAGCGCGTCAAACGAGACTCAGGGGAATGCACATGGTTGAACTGGGTGCGATGTTCGTCCGGTGCCTGTGGAGCTGGACGAGTCGGTATAGGCACACGCACTCCGTTGTTGTGTCGAGTTGCCATGGCTGCGATACGTCTCTGTTGCGCATTCAACTTCTTGAGCAACTCATCACCATCTATTGCAGATTGATTCAAGACCTCTCCATTCCGCCCCACAATATATGTCATAAGACCAGAACTATTGTGGATGTGTGGCCAGCGAGCCAGAGCTTGCTGCGGAGTCATGACATCGCGACCATTGTATTGTTGGCCGGGTATCAAGGGTTGTATGGGAACCTGCTGCTGCGGAACTGGGTGTCCTCGGGCTTGATCTCGCTGGACGTGCTGGGACATGAGTGTCGACTGCGGGTGTAGTGTAGTTGGAACGTGATCGCGCGATTGTAGGTGCGTCGAGGATCTCAAGCCGCCAACTGGAATTGTGGTCATTAGCAGTCATTCAAGATAAGGTGTTTTTGGAGGACACGTACTGTTCTCTTCGATATCCATATGATACTGGGGCGACCTTCCAAGTTCAGACTGCGACGCAAACGGAGGATACAAACGGCCAGCTTCCTGACTTGGTCCAGTGGCTGTAGTCGACTCTTTCTTGGCAACAGCAGTTGCACGCTTGGCGACCGGCTTGGACTTTGGACTCGCACCTGGTGAGTCGGTGGCCTTACGCTTGCCTTTGTCGTCCTTGGCAACTGTGCCAGCGCGACTAGATCTAGGAGCTAATTTGTACGGCTGCGTGGGTGTATCTGTGAGCAACTCTGGGTTGCAGTCGGACACTTGTTCTTTGTGCTTGGTGCATGCAAGTCCCTGCTGCAGGCAATGTTTACAGGCGTCGTCGGTATAATAGGCATCGCATGTCGACTTATGGCCCTTGCAACATTCGTCGCAAATCTTCCAGCATGAGTCTTTGATGTGCCGCTGATTCACAATTAGCGATGTTTATCTGAAGGATATGGACGGACGACAAACCTCTATAGAGTACTTCTTGGACATCTGGGCATCGCACCGTGGACAGGCAAAGACGCTGTCACTCATGCTACCCCCGAGGCGCCTCTTTGCACATTTGGATCTGGTATCCCTTGTATGGCGCTATAGTTAGGTCAGTACGTGAAGATGAAACGTGGGCTTCTGACACGTACTTTGAGCTTCTGTTCGCTAACATATGTCTTGCCACAGTACTGGCATGCGTATGGCTTCTTGGCGTCTGAACTTTCGTCCGCAGACTCTTCGCCGTCATCATTTTTGAGCGCTTTGACGCGTCCATCGTTGCCTCGCATCGCGCTGCTCACTTCTAGAGAGGGAGTTTCGGGAAGTTCTGATAAAGGCGAGCTGTCTGCCACTGGGGACATGCTAGATGGCTGAGTCTGCGCCGCACTATATATTGTAAGCATTGATTTCAAAGGGTTCGCTCGTGAATACATACTCGCACTGATATGGATCGCTATCCTGACTCCGCTCCATAGTGAACTGGTCTCAGGGCAAATTATGAGTCGAAAGAGTGAGAGAAACCGTTCAAGCCAGAGGAGACGATATGCTCTTTATAGCAGCAGAGATATGAAGGACATGCAGAGAAAGTAGAAGATTCGAATCATCTGACTCAGGCGCGCAAGAGTGAAGAAGTTCAGCAGCGCGTGTGATCGACGAAAGACTTCCGTTATAGGCACTGGTGAGCAGTGAGGGCTGATGAAAAAGCCTTCAACAAGACCCTGAAAGAAATTTGCAAACGCTCACCACTCCTACCAACGTTGCCTGGAGCAGTTAAAGACCGTCCAGAACCGTCAGTGCGTTCAGTCAGCGAGAGCCTGCCATGAAGCGATGACGCAACTCATGGTCCGCGCGTCAAAGTAGAGATAATGGGGTGTTCTGATCAGAACCACCTTATAAATCTTGTGACATATTCACGAGACAAAGACCGTACAGTCGTGTTGCCGGTCACTGCCTACTGGCCGTAGTCAATAGAGACTTCTGTCACGATCAATATGCGATCTGCGGAGATGCCTCGTCCGTGCCAGATAGCATTTGTATCGGTAGGACGATGAGGCGCGTTTTGACAGGATTCTGACAGTTGTGATATAAAACTGCTCAATCCCAAAGGAACGCATACGAGTACACACCAGGCTGGGAGAAGCACGAGCGAAGGTGGAATAGTCTGGCACAGAAAGGCCGGAATAGGTGACTAAGCGAACCAAAGGGTTCTGGGGCTGCTGAAAATAGCTCTGAACATACTGTAGTTCATCGGCTTGGTCTTCTTGTTTGTGAAAATGATGAATGTGCTGAGATGACAGCCGACATGAACTGCCATGGCGAAACCAAAGGGGTGAATTGAGATGGAGATGGACTATCGGATCAGCACAAGCGCGTCGATAGCTTTGTCCTGTAGGATGCGCCCATATCGTGTACGACTTGGTGGTGGTGAAGTGAGGTGAAGAGGGCACACTTCCCGAGGTCTGGTTGACGCGAGAGATGACGCACCATGGACCCACTCTTGGCAGCGTTCCTACGCCCACACGGAGCAGCCATGCCTGAGCTTCTAAGAACTCCACGAGAATGCTGTCGTGAACAGCGCAAGTGTTGTACGTTACAATTTTCTATATCACCACCTGGGCATGCAGGCCATGGGATGTTCCCTGGCTCTGTTTGATCAGCCCGCTCTTGGCTGATCAGGCAGCTCATCATGCAGCAGCTACCGTACCCGTGATTCATCTGTGGACACTCTTTCGCTACGCTCATCTTGTTTGAAAGGTCTATAGATCTTCTCCCTGACTCGATCACGATGGAGGCTTCAGGTAAATTGATGAACCATCACGACTGGATAATCACCTGACTTACCTAGGTACATAGTATCTCAACGCCCCAACAACCGCGAGATCCGCGTCTTGGATCTACTACCTGGCTGTCCCGACGAAACAATTGAGTGCCATATCCGAAACGTTAGTGTCGATGGAGATGCGCAATACGAAGCGCTTTCATATGTTTGGGGTGATGCTATCGAGAAAAGAAGTCTTCAAGTGTCAGGAAGCCCCATCAGCATCTCGCCAAACCTCCACGACGCTCTTCGACGCCTACGCTATCCAAACCAAATGCGCACACTATGGGTCGATCAGATATGCATCAACCAGTGGGATATGGAAGAGAAGGCCAGCCAAGTTGCCTTGATGCGAGAAATCTACAGTAAATGCGCACATTGCATTATATGGCTGGGTGAGATCCAGTATGCCGAACATGGCATAAATGAGGCGGACACACACGCAGTATTTGAGTTCTTCGAAGCTGTGGCCAACAGACCAGCAATTCGAAACGCATCAGCAGGAGAGGCCTACGACTTGTCTAGTAAAGGCGTGAACCACGAGGATAGCCTCCCTACGCTCTTCCAAGAAGGTGCCGCAGGCGTGACGGCTCGGAAGGCCTTTGCAGCCTTTGCTATGTATGGGAATACCTGGTGGGAGCGCATCTGGACAATTCAAGAGTCAATACTGCCCCGCTCAGCTGAGTTCAGATGGGGCCCACTCTCAGTGTCACGGCGCAACATACTCCTAGTGGTACAGCACTTGCGTGACGACAATCTTCGCTCTTTCCCACCCAGGTTTCGATATCAGCGCATCATGCATACCCCACTTCTCCGTAGTCTTCTGTATCCTGTCAATGGGTTTCTACATTCGACTGATGGCGAGTCGGGGTTAGACTTGTTCATGCGCTGGCGCCATCGGAAAGCTACCGATCCACGCGATAAGATCTATGGGCTATTAGGCTTGCTTGATGCGCGTCAGATCTCAGAGACTCTTCCACACGCTCAAGCGCGTAGCTACTCACTACCGGCATCTTTATTATTTGCAATGGTTACGAGCGATCTCCTGCTATTTGGAGAAGGTCTTAGGCCTCTGATTGCGTCCAGCGAGATGCCGCATATCACCCCCGATCTACCGAGTTGGTCGATCGACTTCGCATGCTCCAACCGTGTAGGCAAGCGCCAGCTGAAGTGGTGGAATCACTCGCACCGATACAGGCAGTTCTCGGCAGGTGGTAGAATTGACCGCGAACAAAAGCTCGAGAAGGGAGGCTCAGTACCGAAGGTATCGAGTGATTGGACATGTTTATCCTTGCCAGGTCTTCTTGTTGACGAGGTAGAGCAAGTCAACAGCGTATATGAAGTTTCTGATGAGGAGGACCTTGACTATCGGAAGATACGGGACATAATGTCGGACGCAAGACAACTAGTGGCAGGACAGGATAGCCACAAACGTGATCGGGCACAGTGGTGCGAAGCACTGTGGCGGACCATGATCGGTGATCTCGTCATGGCTGAGTATCCTATCGAACGAGCGAAAGCAACACACGCTTCGGAATTTCTCGAGATCGAACGCGCACTCAAAAATAAACATTCTTCGCAACAAGGCCACCAGTCCAGTTATCCTCCACACGAGATGAGCGGGCTATTTGAATCTCTCTGTGGTATGGTACCGAATCATGCTTTCTTCATTACAAAGAGAGGTTACCTTGGTATGGGCCCACCTACTACCTCGCCTGGAGACCAGATCTGGGTCTTTTATAACGGCAACGTACCATTTGTTATGGGGAAGAAAAACACGGAGAAAATTGAGAACGGACGTCATGAGCTTCGTCTTGTTGGAGACGCGTATGTACATGGCATCATGGACGGTCAAGCTATCTCAGGCGAGCACGTCACTCAGGTAGCTCATATTTACTAATGTGGAAGGTCATTGTACGACAAGCTTCTTACTGTGCGATGGATTAACAGATCAGATTGATATCTGACAACGGGCGGTTTCAACACGTTTACTTGTATGCTATACCACTAGTGTAGCCACCGAAGCAAATATGTGACAAAGGCGTCCTAGACCGATGGCTGACTTGTCTTTCAATATTTCGGTCGTTGTATTTCCACGTAAAAACTGATCCAGCATCAAGTAAGCAGCCAACCCTGGCGCTCTCAATCGGTTCCTCTGATACCTTGTCAATGATCGCATCCTGTAGCTCAACAGGGAGCTTGCGAAGAGGAGCCGTAGTGGGGCTGGTCTGCGTGGCTTGGAGAAAGAGCTCGACAGCTTCTTCAGAAGGAGGATGCACCCCATCAAATAGGCGCATGGGTTCCGTATATTTTTCGAAATCCCTGCTTATCCGAAACAGAATAAGTTCCCGCACCGAGAGTATGAGGTAAGTGGAGGTTTTTCCTGCCGAACCAGGAGTAGACACAATCTGCTTCCCAAAATCATTTCGAATCAGCGTGATCGCATGCGGAGTATGCTGGCATATAACGATGGCCGTTCCACCGACCCTAACAATGTGTCCACTTGCAAAGTCCCACTGTGGGAGGTTGTCTATCCAGACCAGGTAGCGGCTAATGCTTTGGTGTGCGAGCGTTGCTTCTTCGACGGCAAAGTCCAGGGTAACAATCCTGACAACAGCATTGGCAAGCCTCCGGAACGTAGAGTTGTTGTAACGACCGCAAAGGACATGCCTCCACTGAAACGCAAAGTCGGCAAGTATCCTAGAGACGAAAGCCTTGCGCCGCTGTAGGCGCGGCAGGTCGATGTTCTTGCGTCTCATTTTCCAGAACACCACTGGGCGGCGTGCTGAGTAGACGGATTGCAAGGCATGTTTGGCAAGTGTCGGCGGTGGTTCGCAAGGCTCGAAATCGGAAATGGTTATGGAACGCTGGCGAACAAGGTCGAGAGGAACCCAAAGGTTGCGATCTGTCTGGTCCAATCGCAGAATATCGCGATCAAGGTCAAAGGTCCAGACCGCTCTAACGTGACTCCATCGGCGGTCGTTAAAGGGTGTGAGGAGGTCGTCCCGCTGTTGCCAATCCCGGGCAACCTGCGAGTACAAAACATCAAAAGTAGATTCTACGTCTATGAGCACTTTTTGCCGTCTATGCCGGGCGATGATGGTACTACGCACCTCTTGCTACGCCCGCAAGCCTGCTCGAAAATAGTTGCAGCATGGCGTCATCTTCGGCAGAACGATGTCCAGCAAAATAGAAGGCCCCTCGTTCTACGTTAGAAGAACAGACCGTGTATAATATTGTACTGGTAACGTACCTTGCAAGTCAAGGTTGATATACGCTGCCATGGTGAGCCGTGGACGGGCGCGAAGTACAGGGACGGTTGAGCTCTGTATGGAGGTAACAATAAATTCGGTGCAGTCGGTCTGCGTACGTTGGCAGGCTTGGCAACGCGCCACGTGTGAAGATTGAGACGAGATGGTCAGGGAGAATTACGGTGGGAAGAAGAAGGCAAGCCCTGGAGAGTGCAAGATT